TGGGAAGGGATGTGACGGACGATGAGTTCAATCGCTATCCCTTTCAGTTTGTGGAGAAACGGCACCCAAAAGTACGGCTCATAATAAAGGATGCGATTAATATTGATTTATATATCGAGTCGTTATTTGCGTTACAAGTGTTAGACACTAAAACTTTAATAGAAGAATTGTACGAAAATTACCTAAAGAACGTGGTATATATTGTACCCACGAATTACAACATAAGGCAATTAAACACTTTTATTGACGCGGCAAAAATAGCGGGTATTGAACATGTTCAAAGTATTACTGAACTGACCTCGGTTGCCATTGATTTTGCTTTCGACGATGAACAAAATCCAAGAAACAAATCTATCACACATGCATTGATTATCTTGCTCAATAATAAGTCCTATGAGTTAGCACTCGTTGAATACCACGACATAAGTGTTAAATACAATGCATATATAAGTCAAGATATAGAGTGGCCAACTAGTGGTACCGATTATAGTGAGGTTGACATTAAATTTGCCGAATCATTACAGAAATTAATTACACCAATTGCAAACAAACAACTAAATTACAAAATTGATCATGTTTACATTGTTGGTTAGTATATTTTAAATATAAATCTGTTTTCATATAATTTATATGATATAAAAATGTACTGTATCAGTAATATTGTATTTTTATTTTTAATATAGGGGATTGGAATCTTACAACAAACATTACTTTTAAAATACTCCTATATAATTACTGTAAGCAAATAAAATATGAACATGGTCGATCGGCTATTATGAGAGGTGCCGTGACTTATAGCAATTATTACGAAACCAATGGCCATAACATACACATCACTGGAGTGTTGTTTTGGGATATCGTCTGTCATATCAATACTGGAAATAAAAGCAAAATATTACTTCACGCTAATCAAGTGCCACAAGAAAACATCCATATCAAATTTAAAATCAACCCGTCGGATCAGTTTCCTGTAATTGTACAAATTTGCAATGGGCCCGATTTGATAATTAAAGAATTTATCATGAATAAATATCCGGCAATATTAGACCAGAAAATGGACGGCTATTTGTTCATATTTGTTACACTCAACCAAACCAGCAAATCGAGTTTAGATTTTAATATAGGGGCAAAAGTTGGTACTAGTTACGAGGCACGTCATCAAGTTCACTTGCCTCAATATGCGTATGGTTTAAGCAAAGACCAAATAATCGAACAGGTGGTTTTGGTAGAAGAACTTGGTAAATTAGTTACAGAACCTTTTACCATGATGGACAGCAATGGCATCAAATCTAACACCAATATTATGGGTATAAATGAAAATAAATTTAAACTGGTACACTTATGTGTAGGCGCGTTCAATGAGAAAATGTGCATGGCCATTGATAAAGATATTCAACAAAATAACATAGCACAAAATTGTGATAAAATTTGCATCGATGTAAACAAAGAAATAATGACAATGTTTAATAATGGATCGCTTGAGCAAACGCACGACAATCAAAGGGAAATCTTTTTATCGCTGATAACAAATAATATAACTCAAAGTACTGAGAAATACAAATATTTGTATGATTGTAATAACACATATTACGATATGATAACACAGCAAATACAAATCAATAGATATTTAACACATATACAGCTTACAGATATACAAAAACATATACCTGTGCCCATAGATATACAGTCAAATTCACAACTTATGGACAAATTACAAAATATGTATGATAAAAGTTATCGATATTTTACAGAAATTATTGAAAGAATAAACCATGATGAAACCAAAGTGGTTGAGAATTCAATAAAGTTAATATTGAAAAAATACCGACAAATATTTGAAAAGGCATTAATGCTAAAATATTTTGCATCACCAGATATTAACGGCATTCATGCAGTATTAAATTTTGAATGCATGAACAAGTTTAAGAAATCAATCAAATTCACTGCTAACCAAATTGAACTGGAGCAATTGTGTTTTGAAAAGTGCCAAGCCCAATTAAATAAGACCTTTATCCAAATTAAGACGAATTATACTAAGAAAATCAATCGTTTATTTGCATTGAGCAAAAATATTGTGAAAGATATGCACCAAAAGTATTGCCAGAATGTGAACAAACATTTGGGCAATGATTTCATAGAAATCAATGAATTGCAGCGTTTGCTCGAAAGCGAGTCAAACAATATAATGATAACATTGATTGAATGTATGGACGCGATTGGTCGGCAATGGGACCGCGATTTAGTGAAGAATATAGAGGTAACGCAATGGAATCGACTGGAACTAATCTTGCAAGATCAAATAAAAAAGTATAAGCTTGAAAATCTAGAGAAGGCGAGTAATTGTGCAGATTTATGTGTTTATTTTGAGCGACACATAATGCTAGCTGGTTATTTTGATTGTGGTATGAAAATTGTCCCTGTTGATTATATAAATAACTCACAGAGTAAGTATATAGACAATTGTATTGCATTCAACGGTAAATTCCTGTTCGGGAGAAACGCCAAAGAATATTTGACAACAAATAGTTTGAACACTGAGTTTGATGTGAAAGACCTGTTGGGTAGGGATCGGGTGGACGTAAAAGAATTAATTCATTACCCCTTTAAAGAGTGGATGTCAAGTATGGTGAGCCCACCACAAGTTTATTTATCTCTTGCCACAAACGGTCAGGTATATGACCTAAATGTAGAGACTCTGGTGGCGCTACAAGTGTTGGACATTAAACACAGGGCCGAGACTGCGATGAAAGCACTTCCACAGAGGGCTGTGTTCTGTGTGCCCACACGTTATAACACTAAACAGAGGCGCGCGATGTTAGACGTGGGCCTAATCGCAGGCTTTGACCCAAACTATGTCCATATTGTCAATGAAATGACTGCCACAGCCCTGGCCTACGTTATTGACTCTCCCCGTAATACATTTGTTACAGAAATTGTAATCATATTTGCAATTCACAAAAAATGTTTAGAATTTAGTTTAATTAAAGTAGATGATAAATTGATTGAACACTTGTCATATGAAATGCTGAATAATAGAGATAATTTCGACGCCGATTATTTTAAAGATTACATCTCAAATGCATTAATTGTACGACAATTGACCATGCGTGATTTGAGTCGCGTAATAGTTATTGGGAATTCTGATAAAATACCTGAGTTTAAGGCACTAATTGTGGCCATACTTAGCCCAGAAATTACGGACAAACATAACATACTGTATGCGTGCGATCCGACAGATGTTATATTGAAGGGAACCGTATATTTCGGGCAACTGTTGAACAAAATGCTGGATCCAATAGATATACAGGAGATCGTGAGGGCAGACATAACACTTACAATTAAGATGAATAACATTGTGCAAGTACCGAGTTTACACTTGATACCTATGAATGCGATCCCAAGTAATTACATAGAGCCCATTAAAACCACGGTGAAATTAATTGGCGATAGTTTCCCAATACAATTGTATCTCAATGAAAACGGCACAGCAGTCAAAACATTTACAGTGAACAAAATTACCGGTACAAAGATTGGCGAATTAATGGATCCGTGGAATAGAATTACCATCAGATACCGCATGGATCAGCTCACTCTCGACGTATATTTAACGGCTAAATTGAAATCTGTGAGCAAAATGACGGACGTCGACATTGGTGATTGTCCCGAAAAGTATGGACTCAGTGCTCATTGTATTGAAGAACAACGTAATATATTGATCGATCTAAATGTTTTTTCTATGGAAAATCAAACTATCAAAGGAAACTCTAGGTCACAGATTTATAACACTCGTGTTCGGAATATGATCGACGACGACACGAATGTCAATGAATTAGCCAATTGTCCTACACCTGACGTCATATCGGACCAAATAGTCTCCAGTAGTGATCATATTGTTGATGAAAATGTTATTGAGACACCGGTAGACATAAACGAGGAGTCCGTCCGTGAGTTTCGTCAATTAGTGGCCGATATCGGGCGCCGACTCACAGATTGTCAGATAATCGCAACAAAAAAGCGCAAACTTTATGCAAAACTCGGGGAATGCGACCAAATTGTGGCCAGAGATGGACACCGAGTAGAGGAACAGCGGTTGGAATTGTTTAAAATGATCGACACGTTTAGGTTGAGGGACCGACTTATCACCGAATAATTTTCAATTAGGTATGCTTATAAATTAAATTGTTTGTAGTTTACGGTGGAATTAATTTAATTCTTTCATTTATAACTCAAGCTCTCGTTCTCCATTGAAGTTCAAAATAATAGCATCATAATTACAATTAAATTGTAAGATTACCTTTTAAAAAATATTTGTACTAAATATTGTGCAAGTTTAATATAAGTTATATTAATGTTTATTTTTTACAATAATTAATTTAAACTCTTATATTATAACAAATAACTTACTTACAAATAATCATTGTTATTATAATAATTTTGATTGATTATTAAAAACATTTAAATAAACATTTTGGATTACATTTGAATGCAAAAATAATTTTTCATTTATAATATAACTAAATTAAATTTGCAACAAACAAGCGACATAATAGTTATGATGATAACGATTTTATTTACACTTTCTGTAAGATAGAAAACAGTCAGTGTTTTTATATACAATACATTATATTTCAAACTGTTCATTATATAAACATATCATGTAGCATATAGACTATATTCTACTGTTTGAGTTAAGCTGTGTTGTGTAGGCGCGTCGTCTGTATGGTATGTGATGTCATTGTCTTGTAGTTCGAATCGTTGGCATTCTTCGGTTTGATTTCCGATCACACCAGGAATCATATTACTGGAAGTCGATCTCCCATCTTGTAGGCCCGGTTGTGCACGTAATCAGCTCATCCCATGGAAAACCAACGCTGAGCTATGGTCAGACCATCGTAAAACATGGTGATTATTTCTTATAATAAATGCAAATTACTAATAATATTCGTCACAACGATTACCTTATTCATAATCAATTATAATTTCATAAGTGAATTATCTTTTCATAAGTAAGTTAACTAAATTATAATAATAATAAATTTATAAACGCTAACTAACTGAATGACATTCAAAGTAACAAGATACAATTTAATAAAATTAGTAATTATAATAAGTAATTGTATTTGTGTATAAGTGTATTCGAATAGTATTTGTATTAAACATGTTTACATAGTCCTCAAAATATCGACCAAACTCGTGGCCAGTGATCGGTTGGCCATTAATTGTCTTAACAATAATCGTATCGGGATTTACAAAAAGATTGCTAAAATCCTTGACATTGTGTTGAAATCATCGTTCAATTGATTGGGAAAACCGATAAACTCTGGGCTCTGAGCGTTGTCTCCCGGAGCGGGTATTGCAGGCGGCCACGTGTTGCCGGGCGTTGGTTTCGAGGCGAGTGTTTAAATAATTTTGTCCGCCGTTCACACCGTACACGTGCGGTGGCCTCTGTCTCCAGTCTCTGATCATGATTAACTGTAGGTAGAAATTAATTAAAGCAAGGCTCGATCCCACCCATAACAGTTTTATTTTAAGTTTAAGTTAAGTTAAAATTAATAGTAATAATAATTTTAATCGATACAAGTTTAGACAAGTTAATTTAAAAAACTCACCAAGTTTTGAAAGGGCATAGAATGGGCAAAACTGCCTGCGCTGTTCTCTACCGCCTGCAGGCAGTGGAGGATATATGAGTGCATTTTAGTGCGCCCAGAAAAGTTCCCTTATTAAGCGATCAAATAAAAGCCCTTAAAAACAAACTGTCCGCACATTTATATCCGGACTAAGCGAACGGTCGACGGCCTACAGGTGTCCCAAAATGCAGATCTGGTCAATAAGTTGTCCGCTTTTGAGCGCTTCCTGTCCTCAGTCCGCCAGACGACCAAAGAAGAGATCGATGGCTATCAGCGACAGTTGAATGATGTAAATGAGCAAGTTAGATTAAGAAGACAACCTTGATGATTTAAAACATTGAAATTTTATGTGGGGACACAGGATATTGTTCTTGATTTTTAAAGAAATTGTGTAATAATTAATAAAACAACTTATTTACTATTATAGTAAAATAGTCATAATTAAATTATGGAAAACATATTCAATACAATTATTATACTGTATTAAAATTGTCATTAAAATGTTTATAAAATTGATTAAAAAAATCATAATTAAGACATTAATTATATTAAACGGTTCTATTGAAGTAAGCATTTAAGAATTTTTTATATAAATAATCAATCAACCAGGGGCAGTTTATAAAATGCTAAAAACGTAAGTTTATTCAAAATGACAAATATAATTTAAATATAATAAAAGCTCGTTGTATTTAAAATCATCAAAATTTAAATACAAACAAAAAACATATATCACAATCAGTGGCGGCGCCGGAACAGCTCTTCAATAGACAGTCGGCCCTTATACTCGGCCACCTCGTACTCGACAGCCCCCTGTGCTCCCCGGGAGAGCACAGTTGCCGTCAATTTCAAAATACCATCGTCGTTGACGCAAAACTGAACTGACACGTTTTGTTTGCCCGCCTCATCGGGCGGTATATTCATCACAACAAACTTTCCTAATGGGGTGTTATTAGTGGCCACCGGGTCTTCGCCCTCATACACCTCCACCTCGATCTCGGTTTGATTGTCGCATACCGTGGCGTAGACTCTAGTGCGGGGCACGCCGTCCACCGACGACTGGGCCGGTATGATAGCACTCATCACATCTCCCCTGGACTTTACGCCCAACGTATGAGGTGTGACGTCCAGTACCCGTAGGTGATGGTGTAGATGCGCCTGGTTGCCGTTTAGTATTGCAGCCTGGTTATTAAAAACAATAAATATTAATTATTAAAAATTGTTATAAGTTGTGATAAATTATAATTTAACCATTTTAAAAGTTTACAAAAGTTGACTATATAAATTACAAATGTTAATCACCTGTAGTGCCGCGCCCTCAGCCACGGCCAGCATCGGGTTCACCGACTGAGACGGTTGGCGGCCATTGAAGTGCCGTCTAATCATATCTTTAACGTACGGAATATACGTCGAGCCGCCGACCAGTACTATATCGTCGATCTCGTCGGGTGTCATACCTGCGCCCTCATTGACACTTTCCAGCGTACGGTTCACACAATCCATGGTGCGGTCAAAAATGTCCATGTTTAATGTCTCAAACTCCGTACGTGTCAACTCCACCAGTAGGTCGTGACCGTCAGCAATGTTGTCCACAGCAATAGTGGCCGCCGTCGCTTCGGACAGACGCCACTTCTCCCGTTCGCAGCGGTCTTTGAGCCCCCGATAGGCTCGATCGCCCTCAACGCTATTTCGGTCCAACATAACGCCCGTCTGGGCGTAAAACTCACGCAAACAGTGATCGATAATATTCTGGTCGATATCGTCTCCGCCCAGTTTGTTATCGCCGCCGACGGCCAGCACTTTCACTTCACCGATAGCCAGGCGCAGTATTACCACGTCGAATGTGCCACCGCCAAAGTCATATATGAGCACGGTTCTTAAATTATATTAATTAGTTTAAATTATGTTGATTTTATTTAATTAAACTAACATTTAAAGTTTAATAATTACAATATGAATTATTATTAGTTATTTGTTAACGTTATTATCAACTAATGTACAGTACATGTAAATAAAGTTACATTATTTTCAAATATGCAAATAACTCACTTGGTACCCATGTCTTCAAATCGGTCGAGTTTATACGCCAGAGCGGCAGCCGTGGGCTCATTAATAATGGACAGTACGTTAAGACCGGCCATAACGCCGGCGCCGCGGGTGGCCTCGCGCTGGGCGTCCGTGAAATAGGCGGGAACTGTAATGACGGCGTCGACCACTTGATGACTTAAGTCACGCTCGGCTATCGCTTTCATTTTGCGCAACACTTCGGCCGACACCTCTTCGGGCAACAGTTGCCGCGACTCGCCGTCCACTTCCACCTCAACTCCGGCCGCGCCGTCGCCCATATCGACGACATCAAAAGGCCAGTACTGTCTATATCTGGTAACGTCGGGATCATTAAACGGGCGGCCAATCAAACGTTTGGCCGAATAGATAATGTTCTGGCGATTGGCCAACAGGTTGTCCTTCGCCTCTTCGCCCACCACTACCTCCTTGTTGTCTCTATACTCAACACAACTCGGGGTCACTTCATTAGTACGGGTAGTATTTGTGGTACGGCACACAACAATTTTACCCGGTTGACCTGGACGACCTGGTCTATAATAAGCTACACAGCTATTAGTAGTGCCCAGATCTATGCCAATGGCCGGTATAGTGGGACAGTTGCGGTTATTCTCGTCGATCACTCTATCGTAGGTAAGCTTAAGTTTATCGCGTATCAGCTCGTTGTACGTGTCCATCGATATATGACCACGGTCATTTTGAAATCTGGCCAACGCACCGGCCACCAATGCCTCGTGAATGGTGCCCAACCTGTCCAGCCTTATGTACGGCCGGTCGCCGTACTCTGTAGTCATCTCCCGGTTATACCATTTCATCGCGCGGTCGGCGAGTGTTGTCATCAACCGATGCCTATCGTCTACCGCCTCGACGAACACGTCCTGCATCTCGCGTTCAGTCGTGTCAAACATGGCGTTCAGCTCCAGGAGATCCAGACGATGGCTATATATCGGCATATTTTCCGACACAATACGTGTGCGTATGTGTCGACTCTCGTCCAGAAACCGACGCCTCTCCTCAGTGTCGGTGCATTGGATCCACGCGTCCAACGCTTCTTCGTATAGTTTGTTTTATATATCGGCATATTTTCCGACACAATACGTGTGCGTATGTGTCGACTCTCGTCCAGAAACCGACGCCTCTCCTCAGTGTCGGTGCATTGGATCCACGCGTCCAACGCTTCTTCGTATAGTTTGTTCAGATTGTTTAGCACTGTATTCATAGCGGACTTGTCCTGATCGGTGCGGTGCCTGTTATTCTCCTTATAGCCCCGGTATCTGTCCCTCACGTATGTGTCCAACGCCTGTCGATAGGGCACAATGGGTACCACTTCTGTGTCCACATCAGCCTGGGTTAGCTCATTGACTAATGAACTCAATATGGTAGCGCTTAGTGTGTCCAGGTGCTCTTCAGTGTAGAATTTGTCCTGCTCTATAAATAGCTCATTCATTCTCTATTTTGTTAATAAATGGAGAGAATTAATAAATTAATATTGTTTATAATAAAATGACACAATAGATAATTGCAAACCTGGTCGTATTGAGTTTTGAGCAAGGTAAGTACACTCTCGTACTGAGTGATCAACTCCTGTATCGCTCGACTGTTATTGCTTTTAAACGTGTTTTCCTTGCTTTCCAATTGATTTAATAACTAATTTACAAAAAATAATAATTTACAAACAAATCAATAAATAATAAAATAGTTAACAAACCCGGCGCTTGTGTTCAGCAAATTGATCAGGGTCATCGGCGGCAAACGCGTCAAACAAATTAATCGTATGGTCCCGTTTTGTATCAATAATTTTGCCCAGAGTATGATCGGACAGGTAGTCACCCGGCCTGATATGGCCGCAAATATGTTGCTTAAACTCGTTGACCAGGTCAGTGACCTTATCGTTGGTGGCCGTCAACCGTCTCATCTCATTCTCTTCACGCTTCTGCTCAAAGACTGCGTGCAAAGTGCGGGACAACTGATCCGTCAGTTCCCGGACCACAGACTCGGCGGTCGACCGTTTCCGGAACCCGAACTCTGATTTCAATGAATTGATTGAGTCGTCGGCCTGAGTGGTCAGTTGACGGCGCCCGAGGAAAGGCCTGCCCGTCATTATGGCTGACAATTCTGTTGTGCATTTGTCCTAAAAATAGTTATAATTTATTAGATTATTATTATCATAAAGTTTGTTATTTTTTATTTATACAGTAAGCGATCGATGCTATGAACAGCTCGGGTTTAAATATTTGCTTCATTACAACGATTAGTTCACAAAATTGATAATTCATAACATTGATTGCGCACTGTATATTTTTTAAACTAGTTCTATAATTATTAAACAATATTGTTAATACTAGTTTTTAATACACTGGTTTATTTACTTAATATCAAAATACTTATTTATGAATTGAATTGCTATAATATTAAAGCATTATAGAATTATATTATTAATGTCATAAATAAATTACTAAAATTACCTTAAGTTGATTAATCAGATTATTATCGTAGGCGCGATGGTTGGACTCAACGACATCGCAGACTCGGGGACCCGATTCGCTGTTAAACATGTTTACATAGTTCTCGAAATAGAGGCCAAACTCGTGTCCAGTGATCGGTTGGCCATTAATTGTCTTCACTTGAATCGTATCGGGATTTACGAGAAAATTGCAAAAATCTTTCAAATTTGCATTAAAATCATTGGTCAGTTCATTAGGACAGCCGTTAAACTCTTGGCTCCGGGCGTTCACTCCCGGATCGGGCATTAAAAAGCACTGAATGTTTCCAAACGATTCGCGTATAAACTGACGGGTATTGCGGGCCGACTCGCGCTGTCGGGCACTGGTCTCCAGCCGACCGTTCAAAAAGTTTTGTCCGCCTTCCAAACCGTAGCCGTACGGCGGCTTCGGTTTACTCCAGTCTCTAATCATCAATACCTGATTAAGGTATAAAAATTATTTATTAACCTTGGTTATATTAAGTATAGCTAAACACATACCAAGTCTTGAAAATGCTTCCGATCGTTGCCAGGATGACCAAAACTACCGGTGCTGTTCTCGACAGCCTGTAGGCAGTGGTCGATATAAGAGTGCATTTCCGTCAATACATTATCTCTCAGACCATTTGTAACGTTGAATACAAGAGTGGAAGCACTGAGAAGACTGAGGCCAACAATGGTTGACATGTCCTGCGGTGTGCAGTCGTCGCTACCCAAGCCCTGTGTGTCCACCAAAATGATGGCCAACTCTTCGCCACCGGTTTTGCGAACAATAAAGGGCTGCGAAAACCAAATACCTCTCGTTGTGGTCTCATTCGGGTCTGTATTCCACTCAAACCCTAAAGTATACAGATGTTATCAAGTATAACTGGGAAAGCGTTTAGTCGAATAACTCGAAAACGGCTAATTCAATTTAAAATCTGTTTTCAGGAAATTGTAGTCAGGATAATTCGAGATTCGTATATGACATAGTTATTCAACTGAATACTATTTTAATTATAAATTGAAAATATTATTATTTTAAATGGAGTTCAATGCGATTTTAGATAGCATTCAATTGCTATAATAGTGAATGCAATGTGTGTGTGTGTGAGAGAGAGAGAGAGAGAGAGAGAGAGAGAGAGAGAGAGAGAGAGNGTGTGTGTGTGAGAGAGAGAGAGAGAGAGATAGAGAGAGAGAGAGAGAGAGAGAGAGAGAGAGAGAGATTTGTGATAACAATAAGATACGTATTATGAATAACATTTAATGATAAGATAAAAATAGTGAAACAAGAAAATATTAAACTTTAATTACCAACTAACGGGTCGTCAGGATCTTCGAGAACTTCGATATCAGCGCCCATATCGTAGTCCACGTCCTGTTCATCTGCCGGTCCCGACGGCACACCATTTCTCATAGAGTTAATGATATGTCGGCCGACTTTATTGAGCAGAAATGAATTGCCCTCTCCTTGAGTGCCAACATTGAAAATGAGGGTCAATTTCAAGTCACCGATTTTGGCCAGTAATCGATCCAAAGCAGGTTTGTTTAGGATATATTTGGATTGATCGGTGCCCTCTATCCGTTCAATTGTGATGATTTGAACAGGCACAATTTTGTATTGATTCGAGCTATCATCAGCATCGGGATCCATTTTATTTCTATTAGTAATAGATTAAAATGTGTTAAGTTATTACTGAATGTTCTATAATAAACGCATATTAAATAAATGCATAATTTATTATTATTATTAAGTTTTATGATTTACTCTACGATTTCACTCTTTGGCAGTAATTACTGACAAATACTCCATAGATACTAAATATAATATGTGAATATTTTTCTAGTTTATTTTTGCTGTATATAAAACATTGAAATAATTTAGTTGTGAGACTGTAGTCATAAGTTATATTACTCATAACATAGTCTAATCATATCAAATAATTTAACAAGAAAATAGCATAGATTAAATAAAATTAGTTGCTATGACCAAGGTGTTATTTAAGTTATTTGTGTTTTATATGTAATTAACAGACAAATAAATTAAAATTTAGAAATTAAAATAATTTAATTAACAAGGAAACCGGAAATCATTGTATTGCCAAAACTGGATTTAATGGTGATTTACTGTTAGAATAGGTCAAATAAAATAATTTACAACAAATATCTCGGACTGATAGCCAAAAACCACCGAGTTATGGCCATTTTTGTGATTTCGCGTATACAGAATATAGCAATACAATACTGGTAATTAGCCCAATCACTGTGTGAAACACCATTTTTTTTAATCAAATAATAAATGTATTGATTGTTAATAATATTGCTTTGTATTTACGATTATACTGTATTAATTGTCTGTAGTAATTTGCTTACATTTATATTTTATTAAATTCAAGGGTTTGTTATCATATCTCAAACAAAATATAATATTCAGTCGTTTAAAAAAACTTGTCGCTTTAGAAATCGGTATATCTCCCAAACGGTATGAGCTAGATCTATTCTGTAAAATGTAAAACAGAGTTCCACATGTCTAGTTTTTTGTATCTAACAATTATTGAAATCACGCGACCAAAACATAGAAATTGTTGGTCATTTCGTAATGCCATGGTTTTAGTCCAGTTGACAGGGGGTCGGAAGGGGACGGGTATATGGTTGAGTAGATGAGAGATGAGTCTTTATGATAGCAAAGTTTAATAAAGATTAGTCCAACCATCTACGAGAAATTGTCAATTTTATTAACATTAGGTTTATGAGAAAACATTGTTCTGAAGTTGACCTTTTATAACTACAAAAATGTAGTATAAACAGGTCAAAATTGAGCTATTTTTGTCCAAATATTGTGTCAAATTTCTTGAATATTTTGTTTCTTACAAAAAATATTCATTCGATGTTTATGAAACTTTCATATTATAAACACACACCCCTCATCTACCCAACCATATACCCGCCCCTTCCGACCCCCCCCCTTTCAACTGGGCTAAAACTATGGCATTTCGAAATAATCTAAAAATTTCTATGTTTTAGTTGCGTGATTTCAATAATTTTTTGATACAAAAACTAGACATGTGGAACTTTGTTTTACATTTTACAGAATTGATCTAGCTCATTCCGGTTGGGACTCCCAACTTGGGACTCCCAACTCCCAACTTGGGAGATATAACGATTACTGAGGCAACAAGTTTTTTTGAGACTATATAAATTCCTCTTTATTAATTAAAAAATATTTACATAAAAGTGAACATAAGACTCAACAACGTTAAAATACTTGTTACCATGCACTTATATATTGCATATTTACTTAAATAAAATTAACGCAATACAAGATATCAATACAATATAATACAATACAAAATTTTATGAAATTTATATTACACAAAATAATTAAAATACAATTTTAAAATTAACTACGAAAACATATAAATAATTAATTATAGCACATAAGTTTAACATAAAAATTATTTATTTAACGGCTTATTCAATTTATGGATATCATCATCTGTATTATGTATGGGTCAGGGCAGCTGTAGGGTACTTGGAATAACATGGGGGACACTTTTGCTACGGGAAAATGCGTTTACATGGGTTCCTATGGGATCACAGCTTAAGTCTATGACATAGGATTAACATTGGCAATGCTAAATCTATAGGACTAATGCTAATCTATTCTTTGAGCAACAACCGAATTGTGGTTAACGTATAGCATCGCTGTGTAAACCTTGTTTAATAAATCAATTAATAATAATAAAATAACTTTTTTTTTAAATTGCAGTTATTGTTCAGTAATTAAAGTTCACATATTTGTATATATTTGATCAAATTAGATATGATTAAGGCAACTTATTAAAACTTTTGTTTAATAATAATTTTATTTAATAATGAGAGAGAGAGAGAGAGAGAGAGAGAATGGATAATAATTAAAAATAAGATACAATAAAGAATTAAATATTAAACATCAAAAATTATTAGATTAAAAATAAAACGTTATACATTTTTCAAAAAAAAAATAATTTTATAAGTTATTTTTAATATAAATTTTTAATATATTTATAATTAAACAAAAAAAAGTTATATATTTAGACTCGAAGAATTTGATTCCATTATTATTCCAAAGATTATAAAATAAAATCGATTCCAATAATTAAAAAACATACAATTCAAATAAATCAAACGCTAAACAAACTAAATAACATTACAAATTAAACAATGATCAATTTATCAGTCAATTGATATTTGTCAATTAATCGCAACAATTCCTCCTTTTGTTTGTCCAAAGTATTGACATTTTGTGTCACACTTTTCTCACAATCCGACAGCTTTTGCAAAATATTTCGCTTTTTGGTGGCGATCGCACCGCACGTCTCGAGTCGGGTCCTAATATCAGCGCACAATTTGCTAAATTCCTGGATTCGATCGCCTGTCGGGGCCGATGTGGCCGCGAATGTGCCCATCGCCACCGGATTGGGTGCGTTAAACGTGCCTGGTGTCGATGCTTGTCGGGCAAGCGGTCTCTGAGCCGTCGCACTCGGCCTTTGAGCACTTGGTTGGATGCGGTTGGGGGCTGATGTACTTTGTACGGGCACAATGTTAGAAAATGCACCAAGCTCGCGTAATATTTTATGCTGAGCATTGATACACTGGGAATTGAGTCCGTATCTCTCAGGCCGATCGGCGAGATCTACTAACGTTCTCAAACCTACCATTTTTTTCAAAGTGGCCGTAATGTATACGTCGAAAGTTGACTGATCCATGTGATACTGTATGGGCAGCCCAATCAATGGAGATATTATATTGCCCGCCCACGAGCCCTCTGGTTTGTCTACTTTAAACGTCTTAACAGTGGCGTCGCCCTCATTGAGACACAACTGTATGGGAAAACTATTGCCACTGAGTTTAATTAAAAACTTATTGGCCTCGCGATAAGAATTAGGTTTGGCGTTAATAGGGATAAGTTCCTTAACCATTTGCTGGTCATTATTTTTATGTACCAACAGTTTGATGTCTGCCCTCACGATTTCATGTATATCAATGGTGTCCAGCCTTTTGTCCATCAGAAGTCCGTAATATACGGTTCCCTTGACTATAACGTCTGTCGGATCGCATTTATATATTATGTTATGTTTGCCCGTAATTTCTGTGGTAAATGTAGCTGCAATCAGGTCTTTAAACTCGGTCAGTCTCTTTGAATTTCCGATCAATATTACACGATTCAGATCGCGCATAATCAAGCTTTGTATATCCAGAGTTTTTGATATGTAATCTTTGAAACAACCAGGATGATATTCGCTGAAATTATTCAGTTCGTTCACCACACCGTAAACCAAATGTTCAATTAATGTATTGCCTAATTTAATTAGCCCGCATTCGAACTGATCTTGGTGAATGGCAAATATCATTATAAACTCTTTGGCAAATGATTTACGGGGAGAGTCGATAACGTAGGCCAGGGCTGCGGCAGTCATTTCATTAATGATGTGAACATAATTAATACCGGATAATATACCCACATCACGCATAGCGCGCCTCTGTTTACTATTATAACCGGTGGGTACACAGAACACAGCCTTCTCTGTGCAACTTTTCATCAATATCTCGGCCCTGTGTTTAATGTCGAGCACCTGTAGGGCCACCAGTGTCTCGGCGTTTAGGCTGTAAACCTGTCCGCTATAACCGGGTGACGGCAGTCGAACTCGGAGTGGGTTTTGTATCCAATTGCCAAACGGGTATTGACTGAGCTTTTCGGGGTCCACCCGATCCTTACCCAACAGCTCTTTCACATCAAACTCGGTGTTAGAACTGTCCGTCAAATAGTCTCTGGCTTTTCTCCCGAATAGGAATTCATTGTTAAATGCGATACAATTATTAATTCGTGCGTATTTGCTCTGGGTGTTTTTCTTTTCAATATCAATCTTGTTTTCGGGCACAAACTCAACACCGTGATCAAAATAGCCGGCCATTAACAGGCGGCGTTCAAAGTAAATACCTAGGTTACCTGAGCCCGGAGCGTTGCGATAGTTTTTCAGCTTATATTGATCGATTTGATTAAGCAGTTCCAGTTTGAGTTTATTTCGATGATTTTGATCAATATTGTATAACAAATGTCGGTCCCATTCTTGTCCAATATTGTTCATGTGTTTAGTTAATTCATTCATTATGACATTTAACTCGCTTTCGAGCAAATGCTGCAATTCATAAACATCTATAAAATTGAAGTCCAAATGTTGTGGACATATATTCTGGCAATACTTTCGGTGCATATCTCTCACGATATTAACGTTTAATGTAAATAAACGCTTAACTTTTGCGATATAATCTAACTTAATTTGTTTGTAAGCCTCGTTTAAATGCACCTGGCACTCTTCAACGCACAATTGCTCTAGTTCAAATTGGTTAGTAGTAAACAAATTGTACGGCACTTTCAATGATGTAATGCATTCAAACTTTAATACAGCATGAATGCCGTCTAAATCGGATGGGGTATAAAATTTTGTTCTTAATACTTGTTCAAATATAGTCTGATATTTCTCAACCATTGGCATTATTAGTTGTTCGGCCACTCGTCTTTCATCATAACGAATTTTTGCCATTTCATTAGCAAAATATTGGACACTTTTACCATACATTTTATGTAATTTGTCCATAAGGTTTGCATTGGATTTTAAATCGTTGGGCACCGGTATCTGACTCTGTATATCATAGAGCTGTTGATCGGGAAAATATCTATTACTTCGTATTTGTTTTCCACACATTTTATGATAACTTTCATTACAATTGTAGAGATTATTATATTTTTCAATGTTTTCTTTGATATTTTGTGCCAAAAGTGATGCATACGTTTGTTTTTGTTTATTTTTTGACAAATCCACTGATCCTTGATTGAACATTGATGTTATTACTTCATTTACATTATAGTAGAGTTTATTACAATTATGCGCCAAACCATCTAGCTCAATATCATTATCAATGGCCATGCACATTTGCTCATTAAATTCTTTGACACACAATTCAATCAAATAATTATACTTTTCATCATTTTTGTTGACCATATTTTTGGCAATAGCTTTGCATATTATGTATTCGCTGTCCATTTGTGCGATTAAAGCCTGTCTATGTTTGGCCACTAACTGATCCGGATCTTTGTTGGCAAACTCGTGGTCATATTTAGCGAGTGTGTCCGTACGTATTGAGCGTGACTTTTGCTCATATTCACGAGTGATTGGCTCACATGTATTAATTAAAGTTAAAATTTTTTCTTGGTATTGTTGAAAAAGTTTATTTGCAAATTGATCCAGCTCACTACTGGTCACAGTTGGTTTTATTGGCTTAATGACAGGCTTTGTGTATTGTTTAACTGTATTAACTCTGGCAGTTGTTTGTGTCGTATTGTCTGTATTGTTTGAATAGTAATTGTAGTCATAATCCATAATGTTTTCATCTGTGTATTTGTCGGGCAAATTGTCCGGATTGATAAAATTACCCAATAGACCAGTTTGTTTAATAATTTGGTCCTGGGTCAAACTATATTTGTATTCCAACAACTGACCCTGAGCCAATGTCAGTTGATATTTTGGCCCAATTTTGGCTCCGATATCAAAATTCAAGTTTGTTTTATTGTTTAAATCACTCGTGGCAAACAAATATAGGTACAAGGTTACTTTTGAGGCAAAGCCCTGTTCTGGATATTTGTTCATGATAAATTGTTTGATTACCAAATCGGGGCCTTCGGTAATGCGGACAGTGATGGGGAACGGGTCGGTGCGACTCAGTTTATATTTGAGATACGTGTCTGAATTGGGCACTTCATTAGCGTATAAAAGTACTTTATCCTTATGTCCAGTTGTAATATGACATACGATATCACTAAACATAACTCCAGTGATGGGTATATGTTTACCATGTGTTTCGTAGTATTTACTGTAATAAACGGCACCTCTCATAATGGATGATAGATCATGGTTAAATGCAATTTGTAAGCAGTAATTGTTTAGGATGTTTCCAAAATCCATGAACGATGTGATAGAATTGTCGCCTAAAAGTGCATAATTTTAAATTAATTTAGGAATTTATAACAAGAAAATATGTGATCAGGTAGAAATATTATTATACTAAAACAGCTAATTTAAACTATTATGAATCTATTAGTATTATTTTTATTAAATAATTTGTTAGAGGAAATGTTAATTGTTAAAACAAAACTGGCTTATTTAATTAGTCATCAAAAATTATACATGATCACAATTATAATTATAGCACAAAATACTGTTAATACTAACCAACGACATAACAATTAAAGATTTTTTCTTTAGATTTTTTAGAAAATTCAAATATTTTCGTTTGTTTTTGTGGATAATATTCAAGCAATTTTTGTAATGAAGTTAGAAATTTATTTTTATCCGCATTATGATTGGCGCCGATTTGAGACCAGTTGTGGGCCACACGTATGTATGCGTTGTATTTAACACTTATATTATGGTATTCAACGAGTGCTAATTCATAGCCATTGGTTGTAATTAAAATCAGCAATACGTGCGGGTAAGCGGCGTTTCGTGTGTTTTTATCATTATTAAATCCAAAATCCACGGCAACCGAGTTTATTTCGGTAATGAATTGAACATGTTCAATGCCTGCTATTACGGCCGCGTCCCGGAATGTGTTCAATTGCCTTATGGTGTAATGTGTGGGCACAATAAACAACATGTTTTTCATGTAGTTTTTGTATGTGTTTTGCATTGCAATCTTTGTGTCCAACACTTGTAAAGCAAATAACGACTCAATATTCAAGTCAATAGGGATTTCATTGTTGAATAAGAGCCGTACTTTTGGGTGCCGTTTGTCCACAAAATCAAAGGGATAGCGATTGAGCGCATCGTCCGTCACATCCCTTCCCATAATGTGTTTGATGTCAAACGTGTGTCCATTCAGGTGTTGCTCGGCTTCCCGACCGTATAGTATACTCTGGCCGTCAAACACAATGCAATTTGAGTCCCGGTGCCCCTCATTACTGTGTACGGTACAAATTGTATTATCATGTTTATTGAAATAATAAACAGCAATTGGTTTGCTCTCAAAGTTCATAATAAATGTATGCGATTTGTTTTGTTTGCTTTCATTTAATTTCCAATATTTATCTCTTGAGTGATTGATTTGCAGACAAATATTATCCCAATTTTTATCACAAATTTCTTGTATATATTTCTCATCAAACTGTGTCCGATAGGCCATCACTAGCTCTTCCTGTTCTGACCATAATTGTTGCAAAATGCGTTGATTTTCATCATTAAACTGCTTGTTATCAATATAAATGCTCCGGGATAGTTTAGCAGTTAATTGTTTGCAGTACTTTTGATGGCATTTAAAAACAATCTCATTCATTGCAGTTTGTAAATTCTTGTGATTTTTTATATTTTCATTTAAATGCTCTTGGTATTTGGTGCCGGGATAATCGTTACAACTGTCTCGACACGCGTTGAATACAGTAGTTTTACATTGTTTTAGCACAAGTGTGTTCATAACGTATTTCCAAGCGTTACTGCAAACGGTATTGTATTTTTCTCGGAAAGTTTCGTTAGAAAATGTCCCGCTTTTTAATAATACACTCATCTCTTTGTCGTACATTTGTTTATACATTTCCATACATTTTCCGACTAAATCTTTGTTTTTAGTATTGATTTGTGATATTTGTTTCCCGTAATTATTTATCGCACTTTCGGTCAATTCATTGTTATGTTTGCATAAATAGTAATCATTTTTAAACCACTCTTTGATCTCTTTATCTGTCCGTAAAAAGTGTTTCAATTGTGTCTCGTCTATGAAATACACGTCTGAATCGCAGAGTTGTTGACATTTGTTTACAAACTCGCTATACTTTAAGTCAAAGTTAGTGTAAATCACTTTCTGTTCGTTAATAAATTTGGTCAATGATTCAAAATAAAATGATTGTAATTTTTTTAGCTCGGCCGATTTTCGGTTAAATTCAGCTTTTATTCTATTTGAGATCTCAATAAATATTGGGCCAAAACATTTACTTTTTATATTAAACTCAAACCCTTTGTTTGAATTAAGTCTGTTTTGGATTAATTTTGTGAAACTTGCGGCCAATTCTCCCAACAATTGATCGCCAATTGTTGTCATTTCATTGCATTTATGATTAAATACCACTTTTTCCTCATTCAATGCGGTGTCCAGTGTTTGCCGGAACTCTTCGTGAACTTCAGCGGGAAATTTCCTAATCATATCATTATTAAACTCATCCATACATTCCAAATGTGCTGAATCGTGTGCCTTCTTTAATGCCCCCAATATGTCGTACATTTCATTGTCTATAAGTTGTGAAACATCTACAATATATTTGTTTAATAATTGTTTTTTAATTATATTAAATTTCTTCTTGTCGACCGCACCGGTAGTGTAGTTAATTGTTCTTTCATCGTCACTGCCTTTGCCCTCAGCAAACGGGTGTTTGTTTACCAACGGGTCGATCGATTTGCTTACCAAACCAGGATAATTATGAGTGCTATTAATACCCACATTATTGATCAAGCTTAAATGTGTAGATGCCAATTGTGATTGTTCACCACTACTATGACTAGGTGAATCGTTTCCATTATCATCGCCACCGCTATCATTATCAGAGGTGGTTAGATCGGAGCCCATTGAAAAGAGAGCATTGCCAGTTAGGTGGCAAAAACTATTGTCGGAGTCAATAGAAATTTGATCATGGTCTAGAGTGTCCATATTTTCACCGCTACTTTCATCGGGACCATCTGCGCGGCCGACATCGAATAGTGGGCTATATGGCATTGAATTGTCCGATGACTGGCTGATAATTTGCGCTGATTTTTGCTGATATATTTCAATGGGAAGAATTGACTCAGGTAAGGCACCTGTTTCAGTGTGCGGGCCGTTGTAATGATCATTATGGTTTGGGTTTGAGGTGGATTGCTCTTGATCACTAGATGGTTTATCAGGTGTATTATTATCTGTGTCATCAATGTTGTCTAAATTTGACACCAATACTGGGTGGTTTACATTAAGGTTACTAAACATTATAATTTGTGTCTCGATCATTTTCAATAGTTTATCCGTATTTGTAAACGTAATGCCTATCATATTGTGATCAAGAGCGAGAGAGTCGAGAGCGTCTAATTGTATGAATGTTTTCATTTGATTCACATATTCCCGGCAAAGTTCTCCAACTTTCCAGTCAGTATACTTGACTTTATATGTGGGACAGGCGACTAAATACGAGCCCGTTTTATTAAGGTCGAAGCCAAGATTGTGATAGTTATCTGCTTTCTCTGTAATTAACTTGATATTGGCCTCCATTGCTTCAAAATCATTGCATTCCCATTTGCTTAATGTGTTGAGAAATTGTTTGTACGACTTGACCGGGATTACGTATTTTTCATTAGACTCATCAGGGTGTTTCTATTTTTATATAAATTAAAATTAATTAATAAGACAATTAATCAAACTAAAGGGGTGGTCAAGTAATCTTGCGGCTTGCGTTTTGGCCATTACTCCTAAACTATAAGAGATAATTAGATTCTGTAAAATGGATATAATAGAGAATTATCGAGGATATTTTTTGTATATTTTATAAATTTATTTTGGTCACGTGGTATACAAAATTTGGGACAATTCGGAATGGTCATATTACAGGTCAAACTATATGGAATATAGAGATGGTCCCAATGTATGATTTATAGAGGGATAAGAGGTGTATTATATAAAGAAAAAATCATTAAGATCCAATTGCAGGTTTTCACAAAGCAGCTTAAAGAACTAGGCCAATTTTTGTATGTTAACCTATGGGGATGAAAAATAAAATTGAATTTTAACATAATTGATTATATTTTTGAAAACTACATTCAATGCTTATAATTGTAGTATAAGAAACTTTTTAAAAATTTTATTCCAAAGACAAAATATCTTAAATTGTTATATTAAGTTTTAGCCATGAAATCCAAAGAAAAGTCAATATTTTCAATATTTCAATTTAAGATAGTTTGTCTTTGGAATAAAATTTTTAAAAAGTTTCTTTTACTAACATTATAAGCATTGAATGTAGTATTCAAAAATATAATCAATTATATAAAAATTTAATTTTATTTTTCATCCCCATAGGTTAACATGCAAAAATTGGCCTAGCTTGTTAAGCTGCTATGTGAAAACCTGCAATTGGATCTTAATAATCTTAATCTTTATATAATACACCTCTTATTTCTCTATAAATCATACATTGGGACCATCTCTATATTCCTTATAGTTTGATTTGTAATATGACCATTCTTAATTGTCTTATATTTTGTATACCACGTGACCAAAATAAATTTATAAAATATACAAAAAATTTTCCCAATAATTCTCTATTATATCCATTTTCTAGAATCTAATTATCTTTACAAAATTAAAAGATATGGCCAAATCGCGAGCTGCAAAATTACTTGACCGCCCCTTTATATATGTGTATGCGTACAATAACACCTGGCTTGTTAATAACAAATATAGTCGATATATTTGCAATGAGCCCGAACGTTTGGATTAGGGTACTGTTTTCTATTAGATCGGAAAATGTGTATGAGTAGTTTTGTAGATTAATCAGGATTACGGCCACACGCCTATTATTACGGTCCATAATAAATGGCTCGGACCATATTTCAATGCCCGGACACTTTAGCCCTTTCTGACCATTTTCATCATGATTAATCTCGATATTTTTGAACCCATGATTAGGGCTTAGTGTCACGTTAAACGGCCATTTATCCAGATCATTATTGTGTTTCTCAAGGTAATTTAAAATGAGATTAGCAGTGAAAGTGTTTCCCTCGAAATGCGGTCCAATCACTGATACGATTGCTATTTTGTCAAATTGTTTGTCATTTAGTTTTTGCAATACATTTGTCAACAAATGTTTGCTTAAATGAAAGCGGTTTTCAATCATTTCAACCACTCTTAGGTTTGCCATTAATTTTGTTTTTTAACAAAAGTAATGATGTTTTATATCTACATAATAATAAAATTATAAATTTTTCAGTTATAAAATAATTTTAATAATCAGATTTATACAATTATTGTTCATAGACTTATCATTGCCCATAGACATAGCATTCTCAGTAGACTTAGGATTGCCATAGAATTAGCATTAGTCCCATAGACTTAAATGGAGTCCATGTCTACGCGTCTCGATTAATCCCGACGGGAGTGTTGTGGTGATAACCAGAACGATGAGGAGATTTCAAAACTTGCGTCATAACATGCGAATGGCCATAAACACTGGAGTTATGGACATAACTGTATTTGCAGGCATAAGGCTCAATGCATTACAATTCTGATGAATGACATTACTCATGTAAAAAGATAGTTTTCAATACATTGAGCCCTATACTTGCGGTTACAGATATGTCCATAACTCCGATGTTTATAACCATTCGCATGTTTTGAAGCAAGTTTCGAAGTCTCCTCATCGTTCTGGTCATAACCATATCACTCCCCTCGGGATTAATTGAGACGCGTATACATGGACTCCTTTTTTATAGTTTCTATAAACTTAACAGTACCCATATATATCCTATGTCATAGACTTAGCATTACTCATGTTAAACCTATCTAGTAGACTTATTATACGAGATGTCCGGAATTGGCTAAGTTTTGTTTGATGATAGCTTCGCGGGGGTGGTATTTGGTGGTCGACTTGGATGACCACAAACACAAACGATAAAAAAGGCTAAAATAGTGTTGAGTTCTTAGAGGCTTTACGCCGTTTCCCACTGCCGTTCGGGCTTCACGCCGGTCTCTCTGCCGTTTGTGGCTAATTTAATAAGTATAAATAAAAACTATATTGTTCTATATACCTACTTATAGCCAAACCCCCCCTAAACGACATTTAGCCACAGCCCACCCTTTCATTATTTATGCCATTTATATTATTTATAATTATAGGGACCTTACAAATTAATTGCGTGCCGGATTTTGATCACCATTTGGGAACAGCTGAAGTGACAATACTGTCACTTCACACATATATAGATCCATGGCCGGAAATTTTTTGCACATAAAAATATTTGTGATCACGTGACTATATTATTGTAAAAATGGAGCATTTGCGAGACCCATGGTGTATACCTACGGTGTTTATGAGAGGGAGGGGTGGGGGTTAGGGTTGGATAGTAGAGATGTCAAAGTGTTATACACACTGAAAACAGCAATCGTCGGATTGCACGTTTTCAAATGGCAGGCTAGCAAACTAAGACTACTTTTACATGTTAACCTATGGGAGGGAAATTTTTTTAATTATTTAAATATAATTAATTACATGGTTAAATACTACGTTAAATTCTAATAATGTTAGCCAAAAAAACTTTTGAAAAATCTCATTCCAAAGACAAAATATCGTGGATTGAAATATTGAGTTTTAGCCATAAAAATCTTAAAAACTCAATATTTCAATCCACGATATTTTGTCTTTGGAATGAGATTTTTCAAAAG